CCAGGCACGGCGGCAGGGCCCGAGCTGCCAGCCGCGCGCCGGGCGCCAGCGGCAGCCCCAAGCGCATGAAAGGCGGCGGTGGCGGCGGCAGCCGCAGGCCCAGCCCCAGGAGCCAGGCGCGGGAGAAGCCCTACAAGTGCAACAAGTGCCAGGAGAGCTTCTCCCAGAAGAAAACCTTGGTCATCCACCAGCGGGTGCACTCGGGCCGCAGCGGAGGGGTGCTGGGCTGCTCGTACTGTGGGAAGACCTTCAGCCACCCCTCCAACCTGATCCGGCACCAGCGCATCCACACCGGGGAGAGGCCGTACCAGTGCGGCGAGTGCTTGAAGCGCTTCACCCAAAAGCAGCACCTGCTGCAGCACCAGAAGATCCACCTGCGCGAGAGGAGCCGGCTGGGCACGCCGAGCGCGAGGAGGGCTCCGCCGGACACCTCCTAGCTCAGGCTGCGTCCTTGAGACGCGTGTTTGGGGCCGCAATTCGTGGGATCAATGGGGTGAAAAGGTTTGACTCAGGTGAAGCGCCGCTCTGTGCCCCGAGTTTCCCGGCCTGTGCTGGTTCTGGGCCGTGTTTCGTGGGTGAGTCCCCAAAAGGCCCTTGGCACCCAAGCACCCGCACGAGGGCACGCCTTGCTGGTAAGTTCCCAGCTCCCATGAATGATGTTCTCATTCTCATGAATGAAATGAATGATTTTTCATTCATTGCTCAGGAAGCCAGCTGGGAAAGCCAGGATCCATCCCTTCTTTCTCTAGACTTTGCAGTTGGGTTTAGGTTGTTGTAAATTGTAAGGGTAGGGGCAGATCCCGGCGGGAGCCGCTGTGGGATGCGCAGCAGGGGACACTGCAGACTCGCACTGCGGTCCCAGGGGAATCTGCCCCATCCCCTGTCACTCCCCAGCACCCCGAAAGGAGGCGGCATGGGCAGACTCCTGCCGATACCTCCGAGGCGATTCCAGTGCAGCCGCAGGGGAAGCCGCTTGCTGGGGCACGTGGGGCACACGGGCACTCCCGTGCCACGTGTGGGGACCGCAGTTCCTCTGGCAGCTGCCTCTACGTTAACACCTCTCTCCTGCTTATTTATTGCTCATTGCCTTTTCCTCTTTGTGCTGCGGGTGCTCCCTGCGCTGCAGGGCGAGCTGTCCCTCCAGCCACGCAGACCCAGAACACCTCCGAGCAGCTCGGGTTCGCCGGGCACCTGCCCAACGTCCCGCAGCGTTGGGGCTGCTCTTGTTGCCTGACCAGTCACCTGGTTGCCACCACGTTTGGAAGCCCCACGGGTGCCTCCAGGGTGCCCAGGGTGCAGGGAGGGCTGCCAGGGTGGCTGGTCCCCCTGGGCAGAGGGGAAGGGCTCCGGGGCCGTCCTCGCCCAGGGTGACACCTCTCCTTTGCCGCATGCACCGAGTTTCTCCCGGTTCTCAGTTCACGAGGACGGAGGTTTCCATGCTCTGTCACTCCAGGCGTTCACTGGCCACTTGCGGCCACCAGACAATGGGATCAGACCCGTTTTTCTCCCATGTTTGCCCAGTCTCAGAGGTGCTAGAGGGGAATCTCTTGGCGCTCGGCATTCCACACCGGGCGGGCGTGCTGCAAGCAACAGACTCACCCGTTCCTCAGTGGTTTCTTACCACCCCAGTGAAGTTTCTTTCCCCCCTCACGCACCCCTGCCCTTTTTCTGGGGCAATGACCCGTTCGTTCCTGTTTATAAAATGCCGAGTACATTTGCAGGGCTGCATACTTGGTTTTCAATACTAACGGTAACATTAAACTTGAGCAGGTTAAAGTTGTGGCGTTCTACGGGCTTTTTTTAATGATTATTATTTTCCCCATCACCGCGCCAAGCTGCAGCTGGGGCTGCTGGTCTCTGGAACCTGCTTGGCCAGCCCTTGGGGACCCAGGGGACATCGGGTGCACGAGCTGCTCATCAGAAAGTCCCTGTCTAATCTAACCCTCGCTCAAAGCAAATGGCAATTAGTAGTATCAAACCCTATTAATAGCAGGCAAAGTCTGTGTCGAATTAGAATGAAAATGGCATGGATTTTCATCTTTTTTTTTTAATAAAATAAGTTATTTGTAAATGATTCCCAATGTCACGCTATTTTAACAACATGATCCTGTTTTTGCTCGGGAGAGCCGCTGTTAACCGTTGTCCCAGCTTGATGTGTGCTCTGCGGGCAATATTCTGTACAGTATTTTGCACAGGGAGTCACATTTCCTATCTCTAGCCCCGTTCCCCTCTAGTCCAGAGATAAATGCCTGTACTTAAGATGGATCTAAGAATTCTTCTGAGGTTTGTGCTGCTTTTATTTCAAAAGACTAATCCCGAATCCAGGGAGAAATGTCACTGATTGACACAGAAACGCACTGGTCTTTGGCCTGCACTGGGTTGCCAACTGCTCAGTAGCACCCAAAATCCTTGGAAATCAGCTCAATCCTTTGATAGTCAGGGATGAAACTTTTGCATCCTTGTTTAATAACAAGGATATTTCTCATCGCAGTGGACATGCATGAAGCGCAAAGCGAACTTGATGCCACCTCAGTGTGTTCAAATTCGATTGCAAAGAGACGTTTGCTTTTTCCTGGCATTCGCTGCAGGGACTCGGTGGTGCTCGCCTCCATCCCAGCCTCGTATTCGTGCCTTCCTCCCTATTTACGTTGCTTGTCAGTCTGTTGGTGCAACGTGGCCGTAGAGGGGTGAGCTCTGTGATGCTCTTAAGGGGCTCCCTTAATTAAAAGGCTCTAAGAGCCGTGTGTCCACGACCTGAACCCAAACCAGCTAAAGTCACTAACGGTCCCCTAACCAAGTGAGGAGGCGCCCGGAGCAGCCGCTAGTGCCGAGGAAGAGGAGGAAGCGCCGGGCAGGCTGCAGAGGCACGTGCACAGCAGAGGCTGCCACTTTCCCTCTGCAAGTGCACGGTGTCCAGGCTGCCTGTGTTTTTACGTGCAGCGTTCAGTGCCCCGTGGAAATGGGGCACAATTTAACGTTATTTTCACTCGTTTTGGGTGTTTCTCAAGGCGGGGGAGCCGCCGCGCAGGCCCCGCAGGCCCTGCAGGCCGCGCCGCCGTTGCCACGGCGACAGGAACCTCCACCGCGCGGCCGTCTCCACCAATGAATGCCCTCCTCCTCCGCCTGCCGGCCAATGGCAGCGAGCGGGCCCGCCTCCTCGCGCCTTGCACCGCCAACGATTGGCTCCCGTGCGCGGCCCGCGCCAATGGGGGGCGGGGAGAGCGGCGGCTGGCCAATGGCGAGGCGGAGCGGTGCCGGCAGGGGGCGGGGCCGAAGTAAGATGGCTGCCGGCGAGCGGCGGTACCGGCCGGGCTCGGGGCCTAGCGAGCCCTTAGGCTCAGTCTAAAGTCTTTGGGTTTGTTTCCTCTTGCCTTCCCCATCACACACGAGCGTCCCGAGGTGGAGAGGCTGGCGCCCAGGAGAAGGGAGCCCCACTGCCCGCTGGATGCAGGTGATGGTTTTGGGGGTCCCGCGGTGATCATCAGCGCCGGGCTTGGCTCCCCGGGAACTCGGCTCTTTCTGCCTTCCTTTTCTTTTTATTTTCTTGATATGTCTAGGTCTGTTTAGTATTAAAAGAGCCGCTGATTAAAAACTCTCGAAAAACCCTTCTCCTGGCCCGTTTTTTGGGGCTCTCTTCCCGTTTCTCATTTTGCAGTGGTTTCTTGCCCGGCACTGAGCTGTCACTGTCACCAGTGGGTGTATAAAAACAATATGTTGGCCTTCTATGGTTAAATAAAATAATTTCTGGGGTTCGATAAAATAAACCTTCCTAAAGCAGTGGGTTCACAACGTGGGCTGTGATATAGGAAGGCCGTGTAAACACCATGGGCTTTGCTCCGAGCACTTGGAGGACGATTCTCTTGAAATTTAACCTTTAAGAATCAGCAAATACAGGTGTCTCCTGGAGGAAGCGCTTCCCAAAAAGCTCATTTGGGGTGAGGATGGAAACTGGCTTGTTGGGACAGTTCCAAGTTTCTATGGTAGGGTTAGTAATAAAACTCGAATCTGGAATCCCCAACACTTGCAGGTAATTAGATATTTGCCATTACATTTAGCTCTGTTAAATTAAGGGGGGAGAAGAGGTGCACATTTGCATATAAAGCTTTCCCGGGAAGCTACAAGCCGTGAGATCTGTTATTTGGCACAATAAAAGTGGTGCTGGTCATACAGCAGGTTTCCTTTCTCTGTGCTCAAATTGAATTTTGTGCCTAAACGTCTGCATTAGAGGGGAAAAATAAAGTGATGTTTGCGGATCCGATCCCACTTCGCACCCAGAAGGGGATTCTGCTCCTGCAGGCTCGGCTCCGCTCGGCGCTTCCCGGGCCCCCAGACCCACCTGCAGAGTCCCGAGGCTCGCGGCATTAGCGCTGCAGGGCAGGAGTTTGGGCTGGAGTATTAGGAGTATTAATTTTAGGAGTATTAGTAGTGGGAGTATTGAGTATTAATTCAGCTCAGCAGGTTGCTGCTTCAGGAGTAAAATGCTCTCAAAAATACCCCGTTGGAGCTGAACATCGTGCCTAGGCAGTGGAGCACAGGTTAAAAAACTGCAGCGTCAGTAACTGCATTCAGCACTGTTCATCTCAAATAAAAGATCTAAAATCAGAAGAAATGCAGGGAAAAAATAACAGCAGGTACGCTTGACACTTCTTCACTATTTGCAAAAAATGCAGTTTTCACCTCAGTATTTTCCTTTGTTGAGTTTCATTACTAAGGAAAAACCTGCCATCCAGATCTGATAAATGTTTAAAACACAGTCTTGAGTATTTTTGTCATTGGGATCAGTGTCTATGAAGACCAGAGTCTTTCTTCACCACTGGTTTTCAACTGGATTATTTTAGAAAGTCATGCTTTCAACTGAGTCTCATTTTTTAATTGAATCTTCTGTTTCTTAAGTGCATCAAGGAATACCAGTAAAGATTCCTCTTTAACCTCCTCAGGTGGCTCCCTGGATAAGCAGTAACGCGCTGGCTGATGCTGCTGTGTTAAAGGAGAGGGAATTCACAACGTGCTGCTTGCCTTTGAGGGCTGAACACGCTGGTTTAGGTACCTGGGGCATCCGATAACGTTGCAGGACGTGATGGGGACAAGCTCCACGTGGCTTTGTTTTTCCTGTAAAAGGCTGAAAGACGGTCGCTTTTCCAGTGCTTCCCAGCTGCCTTCTCCCTGCATCCTATGGATGTTTGCTCTGGGCACACGAGTGGCACCTTCTTGGCATGATGCACGTAGAGAGTGAAGGTATGTGCCTCAAAAAGGGGTTCAGGTCCTTATCTCTGGGGGTGCCACTCATGAAACAAGAAAGGAATAGAAGAGAGGTAAATACACAAGTTATTGAGCTGGGCAGAGAGCTCCTCGTGTGTTGTTAGGGGTGTTTCAGCTCACAGAATTTGGAAAAGTAATGTTATAGTAATTGGAATTTGGGAATTTTGGACATTTGGAAATGTCACGGCAGTTTGCAGTGAAATTCAGAATCAGGAATCCTACGGATTGTTAATCACAGTTAAAAGGTGAGTTACACTTCACCACCACCACCCCAAATCCCAAGGTGTGCATGGTTTCTGTGAGCCACTCTAGACTATTGACCTATTTTGATGCAGCAGAGGCTAAATCAACACAGAGGATGTTCCCAAAAAGTAGGTCTTACCATTGGTTTCCCAACTCCACTTCTGTTTTAAGCCATTGATTTTTAAATACAAAGATGTGAACCCTTCCGGCTCCTCAGTTTTCAACTGATTGCTTCACGAAGAGAAGAAAGAAGCTGCTCTAATTATAGGCTTGGCCGTTTACTTGTCCTCGGGGCTAGCGGGAGAGCTGCCGGCAGCTCCAGGTTCTCTCCTGCTCGCGCTTTGTGACCCTCTGCAGCTCTGCTCGAGAACTGCTGATGTAGCCTGGCCTCATTCTGTTGCTATTTCTGCAGTTTCAGCTCTGAAATTACTTTGAAGCTTGAGAGCAGCGAGGAGAGCATCTAATTCTGCTTTCCTGTTTATTTAACATACCTTGCTTTCCGGGCAGCGGAAGAGCTGGACTTTGCAGACAACGGCCTCTATTTTTTGTGCAACTCTGAGCTTTAAAAAAATTGCACGTGCAGTGTGTTGAATTAGAAGTTATCTAAGGGAAAATAAATCGTGCATCCAAAAGAGAGGGCTGAATCATTACAGACATGCACCAGGCAGCTGCATTCATTGCTCAGGACTGTTCTCAGTTCAAGCCCTTCCCTTTTGGAGCCCTTTATGCAGGTAAGGCTTC